CCACAAGGACTTTTTTTCTTCTATTTCTCATAACATCTGGACCAGTGGCTGGCCAGTTGGGATATTCAAACCTTCCAGGTCTAGACAGGCTAGGATGGCAGCTTCCAGCTTATGTTAAGTAGAAGAAAGTAATAGAAGTCTATTTTTCTCCCACTCAGAAAAACATTTGCAAATACCAAAAGTCTAGTATCAAGAAAAATAGCAACTGTTTAAGCTGATATTTCCTCTGTCTCATTTATACTAAATTATTCTTTGCTTTGTAGAGGTGTGTGTATATGCCTGTGTGCGTGTATGTGTACACATTTTTAAAACAGTTTACTAGTTTATGTCTTCTATGACAGAGACACAGAGAGAGGGTAAGCACCTCTCACAAGGTCCTCACACGGGGATCCACCCCCAGCTGGCCGAGATCAGAGGCATGTGCTCAGGGCGCTCAGGAAGGTCCCAGGATATGAACCTAGGACCTATCCCATTTGGGTGCAGTTGAATTGTTACTATGCAACCACCTGGCCCCTATGTGTACCTTTCTTTCTTCAGTTTTTGTCATAAGGTGAGTACTCTTACTGGAGAAAGAGAGAGAGATAAGAGACAAGGAATATGAGAAATCACTCCCCAAAGGGGATAGCCATACAAGAGACAAGGAACATGAGAAATCACTCCCCAAAGGGGATGGCCATGCCACAATCCCTTCTTCCTCCTTCTCTTCTCAAGATGTGGGGCATGCATGCACATGCATCCAGCATCATTTTCAAGCTACCTGACTCAGGGCTCAAAAAACATGGTTGGCTACCTGGGAGTTCAGCACCTTAATCACCACACCACCTGCTGGCCCCATGTGTACATATTTTACTTCCTATAAAACTTACTATATAAGTATAACACAAAGGCTGTGATGGGATTATGATTTATCTGGTAGGTTAAAATGTTAGGCTGAATCCTGTATAGAAATATTCACTTAATCACTAAGACAAATATTATTTTACTCAGCTAAATGTTATTTATGCTAAATTTTATTTCCAGTATACATTACCATTCTACATTTAAAATAATCTTATCTTTAAAAAAAAAAACTGCAGCCTTTCTAATTATTTTTTAACATGCTGTATTTCAGTAAAGATTGTTTTAAAACAGTCTCCCCAGGAATAGTGACAATTATGGATAGTGACTATAGGGGGAAAAATCCAGGACTCTACCATGGTATTAATAAAGATAGGAGTAGAAGAGTTGCAAAATCACTAGTTTGAAAACTTCATTAGACTAATTGATTCAGTAAAGAACAGTCAATGATGTTAAAGCCAGGCCTGAAAATACATTGGAGGGCACAGTGTTTACATATTTTCAAACTATCTCCTGAACAATTATGACTGAAAAAAAGCTGCAATGGAGAAACATGGCAAATTCCCCCCTAAAACAGAGATCAAAACGACCATCACTGATTATGAGATTCATTGACCTGAGCACCTCTAGATGCACTGAAAAGGAAACCACTTTTGTTGTTTTTCTGCCCCCCTAAAAATGCATAATCTGAATTTAAGCATGAGGAAACTATGAGATAGCTCCTAGTTGAGGATTTTGATTGACCTCATTTCTTCTAAAATGTTAGTATCGTGAAAGACTTTTCTTTTTGAAAGAGAGATTTTTGCTATAGGGTGTGTGTGCTCACCAGAGAGATAGAGCCAGACAGAGAGGAAGTGAGAAATTACCCCCCAGAACCCCCAGGAGGAATGACCACACCACAGTCCCTTCTCCTCCATTCTCCTCGTGAGATTTTGGGCATGCACCCAGCATGCATCTCAAGCCTCCAGGTCCAGAATTCGAACTGTGGTTGGCCATGTAGGAGTCCAGTGATGTAACCATTTCACCACCTGCTGGTCCCAGTACTATGAAAGACAAAGACAGACTTGGGAACTGTTTCAAATTAAAGGAGACTAAGGACACAACAACTAGGTCCTTGATGGCATTCTGAATTGTCAAAAACAAATTTTTTTAAATATGTATTTCTTCCACAAGAAGGAGAGCACCCTGGGGCCAGCAGGTGGTTAAGGGTGCTGGACTCCCACGTGGCCAACCGTAGTCTGAGTCTTGGACCTGGTGGTTTGCTTTCTCACTTTCTCTCGCTCTCTTGCTCTGTCCCTCTCTGGTCGAATTAAAATAAATTAATTAATTAAGTTATTTAGTTAATTAAATAAAATAATTCTTTAGAGGAAAAAGAGAGAGAGAGAGAGAGCACCCCGACAGGGTCAATATCAAGATCCACCCCCCTCTCAGGCAGCTTAGGATGCATGTGCATGCCCAGTATATTCAGGGAGGTCTCCACACACAAACCCACAACCTTCCCACATGGGTCAGTCTTACAGAGAATCACACAAAAACAATTTTTCTATGAAGTGTTCCCATGCAAAGAATTTGGTATGTGACGGTCCACTACAAGTCTGGAACAAGATAAACTTGTACCAAAGGTGAATCATTTACATCAATACTCACGTCATTTAGTTCAGTCAGTATTTTTTTCCCTAGCGAGATGTTGCTGATGAGGGAAACTCTATGCTAATTTGCATTCTGGAGTAAAGCCCTGATTGTGTCAAACTTTATGTGAACTGTTAATAGTTGCAGCCTGCAGATGTACTTTGAACAGCATTTCTTTTTTTTTCTTTTTGGTTTGCTACAGGGAGCATGTGTGCTCATCAGAGAGAGACAGAGACACAAAGAGGGAAAGTGAGAAATCACCCCTAGGGGGAATGGCCACACCACAATTCCTTCCCTTCTTGTGATTTTGGGAATGCACACATATGCACCCAGGCTATTTTTCAAGTCACTGGGTCTGGAATTTGAACTGCGCTGTAGGCCATGTGGGACCCAGCCACCTTAACCATCGTGTCACCTGCTGGCCCTGAATAGCATTTCTAAAGGACAGTATTAGAACAGCTGATGAATGGGAACATGAAGTGTATACTAGACAGTCATCAACCTTAGATTTCCTGACCTTGATACAGAGTGACCATCCCTAATCTAGAAATCTAAAATCCAGTTTGCTTCAAAATCTGAAACTTCATGAGTACTGACATGCCATCAACAAGTGGAAACTTTTACACCAGACAGTATACATCAAAACACAGGCATGCAACACACAGTCTATTCATAGTTTGGCAATAAAGATCCTCCCATCTCCCTTTTGATGCTTCTTGTCACCTAAAAAAATAAAATATAGTGACCGGACAGTGGCTCAATGGTAAAAGCAAGATTTCTCAAAGCTGACCAGGAGAAGGTTCTGGGCTCACAGAACCAGAGACCTCCTTCACTATGCTGGGCATGTGTGTGCCCATGACTTGTGGCTGGCCGAAGCTCGTGGTGGAGCATGGCATCAAGACCCTGTGGGAGGTTTTATCTTTATTTCTCTCTCATGGAGAAATAAACTTTTAAAAAAATAAAATAAAATATGGTGTACAGTAACCTTTTAATTAAAGCACAGCATTGTAAGCGGAGACCAAAGCCTGCCCTTGTTTATAGGTGCTGACACAGGTATGCTGATGAAGCTCACTTTCCCTGAACACATTATTGTCTTCACCGTATGACTGATAGGTCATATGTTTTACTGTTTAGCACTTACATGTATAAGTACTTGATCGTATAAGAAAATAATTGCTTATCACTAGCATATAAATTCAGAGTCAAGAATGATGATGATGCCAGCCAGCTGTCCACATGGGTGACTGAGATACTTACACCTTTGCTTTCTGATGATTCAATGAACAAACTTTGTTTCATGCACAAAATTATTCAAAATACCGTAGGAGCCAGCAGGTGGCATGGAGGTTAAATTGCTGGACTTCCACATGGCCAACCATGGTTCAAGTCCTGGACCTGGTGGCTTTGAAATCCCGCCCCCAGGTGTGTGTGTGTGTGTGTGTATGTGTGTGTGTGTGCGTGCCCAAGGATCCAGCAGGAGAATAGAGGAGAAGAGATTGAGGCATGACCTCTAAAAAAAAAAAAAATATATATATATATATATATATATAGTATAAAATTACCTTTCATCTTTGTGTATAAGGTATATATAAAACATAAATGAATTTTGTGTTTAGACTTGGGTTTTATCCCCCACGTATCTCATTATGTATGTGCAAGAATCATAAAACCTGAAAAAAAATCCAAAATCCAAAACACTTCCTGGTTCCATGCATTTTGGATAAGGGATACTCAAACTGTAATTGTAATGTGATTACCTAAAAGAATGACCTTGTGTTTAGGAGATACATGCTATAATATTTATTAGTGAATAGTCATTGTATCTCTACCTTGCAAATGGTTTAGCAAGTGTTATAGCTGTGTGTGTGTGTGTGTGTGTGTGTGTATGCACGTGCACGTGCGCACAAAGAGAAGACGTGTGTAAATGAGGCAAAAATGTTAAGAATTAGTGAATCTAATCTATTCTTGCACCATTCTTGTGTGTTTTGTGTAGTCTTAAAGTTTAAATAGGGGGCCAGTAGGTGGCGTGGTGGTTTAATGCGCTGGACACTCCCATATGGCTGACCGCGGTTCAAGTCCCAGACCTGGTGGTTTGCCTTCTCACTTTCCCTCTCAATCTCTCTTTCTCTGTCTCTCTTTTGTCAAATTAAAACAAACACATTAATTAATCAGATTAAAATAATACTTTTCCTTAAGGTTGTTTAAATAAGGTTTTAAAAAATAATGACAGATGAATGTTCTAGAGAAAGATATATACCAGCCACAATGTTGGTAATCATAGCACCTGAAAGCTTTGCTTAATGAACTGTAGAGCCAATCCGAGGACTTGTTATGTACATGTTATTTGGAGCAGTCCAGTAACCCTGCCATACTTCTTACACGCCCTAAGTTATTGCTTCAGAGGATAGTCGTAATCTTTGTCCCTGTGATTTGCCCCTTTATCTGCACTCAACTCCAACTCTGGTCTTAGCTACTTTTATGAGGAGACATAAATAAATAAAACCACCTAATTTGTTCTTTCTGCTGAAAATCAGGTTTCCGAGCAGGAAATGGATGAAGTGATAGCGCGCAGCACTTACCAGGAGAGCAAAGAGAGCAGCTCGTCTCCCGGCTTAGGTACCGTAACTGCACATTTTCATTCAACATTCAGAAAGCTTTCTCGTTAGGTTCACCCATGGGGCACTCTCCCGTGCAATATTACTGGATTCTTTGTAATTATCAGGATTGGCAAAAGTAGCTGTCAAAGAGAGTATGCTTTCTCTTGGCTGCTACTTTTGATTTCTGTAGTGATTCAATGTGCTTCATTAAAGATCTAATCACGCATGCCTTTTATACTACTTTCAGATAATTTGCACAAGTGAGTTAGCAGCATTTCATGTATTTATGCACGATTCATCTAAAATGCTCCAGATGAAAGTAAAACGATACCAAAATATCAGTAGTTTGGTAGATTCTGAGTATTATCCATCCAAAAGTCTGAGGCTTCTTTACATGAGTTAAAGTTTCAATTCAAAGAAAGTAATAGAGACAGCAAAAATCATGATTTTTCCCTTAAATGGAAACGTTCAGGCCAAGAAGAATTAAGATAGTAAGAATCTCATGTGAATTTAAAGTATAAAACATTGTCTCAAGTCTTCAAACCAATATTTCCTACAGTATGGGAGCCTAAAGGGACTCTTCAAATATTTCTGAGCTCAAGATTTTATTGATGTTCAGTCTGATGTCCAGGAGGAAAAGAAAATGAGACATGAGTTGCTGGCTGTCAGAGGAAAAGGGAAGGCAAAGGGTTTTTTGGCAACGGTGAAATACCCTGATTATTCACATTCATAATTCATATCATTAAAGCGGATACAATCTTAACAGCCTCTTTATTCAACCAGCTCATCATCCTGAACTGCCTGAAAGTTGTGCTCCTGGAACCCCAACATTTCTACTCGATCTTTGTAAAAGATTTTAATAAGCCATGATCCTCATGTCCAACATCTCTGTTTATGTCATGTAGCTTAAAGGGTAGATGCAGAGCCTTTTCAACCTTTGGTTAAAAATCTAACAAAAATCTATGTTAGATTTTTAACCTTCTCTCCAGTGCTTTCACAAGTATCCTAGGTGTGGCCATTTGTTCATTCATCCTTCAATCTGTTCACCAGGTATCACTAAACAGTTGATACCAGGGGCAGTGGTAGGGTCAGATGAGTCAATCTCTCTGCTCTATAGACTATTAAACAGTTGAGGAATGGAGATGAGACACATCTACTCCTAATTAAAGTATACTGTGTATATGGAAATGGATGTGTGGGTAATATAAAATACTTTGGAAATTCAGAAGAAGAAATTACTTCCAAGTGGAATCATCATGGAGGTAGTAAGTGGTATCCAGGTTAGGACTTGAAGCATGAGCAGAATCTTGGGAGTTGGGATGGGACGGGGCATGAGTACCCAGCTGGACTGCATGCACACCTGTACCTTCACCCACAACTCATCAGTGCCAGTCAAGCAAAGGGAGTGTTGTTTAATATACTTGGCTCCTTTTTTAGTTAAGGATGTAAGCCTACTTACAATTTGAGCTTCATTGTTTTGACAATATGGTTAACTTCTCTCCCCAACAGGTACTCCCTTGAAGAGCCCCTCTTTTGCAAAAAAGGTAAGTCAGGGCACACTGCACCCCACTACACTCAACTGTGCCATGCACCACAATTCCCAGGGCCCATCAGTCCAGCCTGAGGGCCCAGTTCATATTTCTGCCCATGAGTCAGTTTTGCTATAGGAAATAACTATGCTAATTGGGGAACAAATGTACAAATGTGTGTTTCTCTGATTAAATATTCATCCAGGAAAAGACTAGAACAACAAAATAGAAGAACCAAACTGCTTGAATTCTTTTACAAACTGCTTCATAACAGCCTGACTCAGTTTTTTGGGACCTAGAACATTAGGGAGACTGTGGGATCTTCCTCAGCAAGGTTCTTTCTAAATCCCAGTGGATCAGGGTGCAGGATTCAAACTCCCATTTTTTTTTTGTTGTTATTGTTGTTTCACCAGTTGGCTAGACGGGTTGGCTGGGTATTTTAATCCCTTTTTTTTTTTAACCCCTATTCCCAATATTTTTCCTGGAGTGGTTGATATACTGCTGCTATGGCTTTTCTGGTTTTGCCAAAAATTTGGCCCCCCAAAAATCTCTAAAAACATGGTCTGGCATGAAGTTTTTTATTTATTAATTGTTCATTTAACCATCTTAAAGTAAATCGAGGTGGGTGTTTACTATCACAGCTGTTTTGAATGATCATGGATTAGAACAAAGTGTTCTGGAAAAAGTAGGCAGTAATTGCCATTTAAAATAATCTGCTTCTGGTCTTCTTAGTCATCCATTTTCCCCTCTTCAACAGGACTCCCTTATTTCTGAATCTGAGCTCTCCCAGTACTTTGGTAGCGACGTCCCAGGACCCTTGTCAGACTTCATGGTGGCTGGCTCCGAGGACGAGGATCACCCGGGCAGTGGCTGCAGCACATCTGAGGATGGTAGCCTGCCTCCTGGCACCCCCAGTAAGCAGGGGAGCCCCTGAGGGCCCTGGGCTCTGCATTCCAGTAAGCAATTACTAGTTTCCACCTCAGCGCTGGAAGCCACAATGTTTAACTATTCTGATGCTATGATATGAAAAGGGAAAAGCATAGGAAAATATACCTCTGGGATTCAGTAGAAGCTGTCTGTCTACCCCAGCTAAATATGAGGGGACTTCAAAAGGTTTGTGGACAAAAATGGAATTAAAGTATGAGTTAATTTTGGTACAAAAAAATGTTGAAGTCCACAGATGGTTTCTCTGTAATGGCACTTTCCATGAACTTTTTGAAGATTCCTCAGACAAGCGTTTACTCTTAGAAAATGTCACTGCTTTAATGACTGGACACTTGGTTGTGCTATACACAAGGGAGGACACACATCCAGTACCCAGGTGTTGACAGTGGCTACACCAGGCCCCCTTTGGATCCTGTTTCTGTAGTGCGATCTTGCGTTTTATGGCATCAAATCAGGGCAAACAACCTGATGCCCCACTATTTTAGGCAATCCCAGTCAAATTCCAGAACCCTCTGTCTCAAAGCCCTAACTTAACTCCTTTTTAGAAGGCAGTAAGTGAAAGATTAAGGATTTGTGAGAGACAAATACTACCAAAAGGTGGTTCTTTTAAATCCCAATGATTATCTACCCAATATAATAATTTGATGTGAACCATCCTGATTTCTCAGACATCTGCTGGTGAGGGTTCCTTTTTATTTCCAACACCCGAATAAGACAGACAATGCCTAATCTGATTGGTTTGGAGCTGTTGATGAGCCCGAGCTGTTCTCTAATAGAAACCTTTCTAAGTGGAAGCACGCATCATTTTTACTACTTCAGCCAAGCCATCAGGAGCTCTCAAAGAAGTCCCTTTCATCCCCTTCCTGACTGGAGGCCCCATAGGAAAGAATTACACGATTCTATTTTCAGATGGCACACATTGTTACATTAAACAATCCAGAATTTGGAGTTTTAATAAAAGCAGGTTGGAGGAAGCCAGTAGGAAAAGAAGAGAGGCTGACTGTTCTGTGTAGCTACCAAGAAGTCACATGTTTAAGCCTGGTGTCCGGGGACCAGAGGCTGAGCATCTGGCATTTGTGAATGTAGAAATGCTCATATGAGTGGACAGGGCTAGATTATAAGACCGGGTTAGACGGGAAACTCAATTTCATCTAACTTTTCTTTTTCCACCTGATAGCTCATAAGGAGCCAGGAAAACCCAGAGCCAATAGCCTTGTGTCTCTAGGAAGCCAGCGGGCTTCTGGGCTCTTCCACAAGCAAGTGACAGTTGCCAGGCAAGCCAGTCTCCCTGGAAGCCCACAGGTCCTCCGAAACCCTCTCCTGCGTCAGAGGAAGGTGGGGTGCTACGATGCGAATGATGCCAGTGATGAGGAAGAGTTTGATGGGGAAGGAGACTGCATTTCGCTTTCAGGGGTCCTTCCAGGTCCTAGCAGGCCTCTGACAGAGGAGGACTCTAGGCATTTCTCAACGACCTCTTCCAAGGTCATGGATGTCAAAAACCAAGAGGAACAACCTCAGAAAACCCAGATCAGCAAGGCCTCCTCGGTGCCTCTCCTAGGCAGCTCGGTGGATGTAGAGGAGAGTCTTCCAGGAGATATGGCACCCAGTCCTTCCCATGCCACCAACCTACTAGATTCTGCACAGGCTCCCAGAAGGGGCTCTGGAGGCTCAGGGAAGAAGGAACTGTCAGGATCTAGGAGCTCACCCAAATTGGAATACAAGATCCATACAGGAACCCAGAGTTTGATGAACACAGAGAGCCCCAGTTCCCTCCAGCAGAAGAATGAAGTTCTGGGATCCAGGCATAAACCGGTGGCCAGGATCAGCCCACACTGCAAGAAGCCTGAGACTGAGGCCAGGCCCAGCAACTCAGAGACTGGGAACCTGACTGGCAGAGCCGATGAACCATGTGGTCTGGACTTGAAAGTCCAGGCCACTTCCATCAAAGTGACCATCACTGATTATCAGCCAGGTGGAAGTGTAGAGAAGGTAACTGACTTTATCCTAGTTGCTTTGAATCTTAGTGACTGTTATATGAATGGATGTGGAGTCTGTCGTAAAGCAAAAAGAGGATAATAGTTGGAGAGCTACCTTCAGCAGAGTCATTCATTTAAGTACACAGACTGTGTGGGAGCCTGTTAATAAATCAGCAGGTTGTCAGTCCTGAGATCCTTTAGCCAAAAGACAGAACTATTCTCCTACCTGTACACAGGACACACAGTTGATGATGAAAGGTGGCATGGCACAGGTCAACTAAAGCCTGGGCCTGCTACTGGCCTCTCCACTGAGGAGCTGGCACTAATCGAATGTCAATTTGGGCAATTATTGAACCTTCTGAGCCTTAGTTCTCTGGACTGTAAAATAGGGATGGTGCCTTGGTCATCTCACACAGTTAGGGTGATCATCAAATATATATTGGGTCACCGAAAAGGTCATGATGCACTTTTACATAGAAAAACAGAAAAATATGCATTGCCAATGATCGAAGACAGGGATGTTTAAAAAGTTCATGGATGGATGACCCCATAGCTTAGTGGTTAAGGGAGCCACATCCCACATGGCCAACTCCAGTTCATATCCCAGCCCCATAACTCGAAAAACACCAGACACATACACATGCATGCCCAAAGTTCCAATGGGATAAAGAAATGGAAAAGGGATTGTGATCTGACCACACCCCACCTGGGGAAGGGTGTTTTCTCCCTCCTCCCTGCTGGTAAACATACATCCTCTCTGGTAATTAAAGTGTAAACTCGTACTTTAATTCCATTTTCCGTGAACTTTTTGAAGTCCCCTTAAATGTAATTCTTCTCCAGCTGATAGATTGTGAGTAACCCTTTTTTTGTTTTTGTTTTTCAAGCTTTCTACAGCAATTATGTGTAATTATTGCTACTCATGCCCTTGCTGTATCACATGAAATAATGGGGATTGTATTTATTTAGGGACTTAGAGTACACCACATTAAATGAAGTTTAATGCTGTTTATGTTACTACTTGATTGCAAGTATATTGAATTATCTAATTGGTCGATTTTTTAAAATTTCAATAAGCCTCTACTTTTGAAAGAAGAGAGTAAGAAAAACTAATGTTTACAATCTGGTCCACATAAATGATTTCTCTCTCTCTTTGAGCAGAGAACCCAAGATGATTTACAAGGCCACATTTATAAAGGTATATACATACAACGATAGAAACAGACCCAAACTATATGAAGTCATAAAAACTATATAAGGCAAAAGTTGTTTTAATCTTTAAAAAAAAAAAAGTAGAAATACACATCTTTCTCCCTCATTAAAAATCATGTTGGCCTTCAACTCGCTCATTTGCTTTAAACTCTAATGTTTGACCAATGGGCAGATTTCTTCTTTCAAAACATATCAACAAGTTTTGCATAACTATCTAAAGCCAAATCAAGATTTTTATTCATAATAATTTATATCTATTACAGTAGGAGCTTTTGTAATTTTGAATTCATATCCTTAATAAGAATTTTTATCAGTTTGTACCTTTTTTTTTTTAAGGGTTTTGCTATAGGACGTGTGCACTCACCTGACAGAGAGAGGGAGAAAAATAGTGAGAAGGAAAGTGAGAAATCACCGCCCCACCCCCTCCCACGGGTGAACAGCCACATGATGGCAACCCCTTCTCCTCCATTCGTCTCTGGGGGTTTGGGGCATGTATGCACATGCATCAGCTTGAATTTCAAGCCACTGGGTCTAGGATTTGAACCATAGTCGGACTGAGGGAGTCCAGCCCCTTAATTATCATGCCACCTGCTGCCTCCCAACATTTGAAATTTTAGTATAAAAGAATTTAATTTTTCTTACAAAGAAATATTTTAATTTTAATTAAAATTTTATTTTTGTAAGGAATCTCTATGTGACTAAAAAAGGTGGCATTTAATGAGTAAACATTATACAAAGCTATTTTTTAAAGCCGTCCATTTTTTTTAAGAATTATTTAACTTTATTTATTTATTTATTTTAATTTGACCAGAGAAGGACAGAGAGAGAGAGAGAGCGAGAGAAAGTGAGAAAGCAAGTCACCAGGCCCAGGACTTGGATTGCAGTTGGCCATGTGGGAGTCCAGCGCCCTTAACCACCATGTCACCTGCTGGCCCGCCATCTGTTTAAAAGATGGGCTTCTCTAAAACAGATAAATTAAATTTTGCTTTCCTGAATGACTGATACACTCAACAAACTAAAATACTCTTATAAAGCGAAGCTTCACCAAACGTCTTAGCAGCATTATTCTACCAAAACTCTTCAGAACCAAATCTTAGTAATCTTTGGGGAAGATAGCAACACTGATCCCTAGAATGCATTGCCAGATAGTATTTATGCTCAAATATTGGAAGTTTAAAAATATTTTTTCTCTCTTTTGACAAATGAATTGTCCTCTGTTTTCATTTCCTACTCTCTTTTTTGACTGAGGTGAAATTCACATCACCTAAAATGAACCATTTCGGAGCGCCCATTTCAGTGCACTTACATTTACAACGCAGTACAGCCACCACCTCTGTCTAGTTCCAGAACTCTTCCACATTTTTTATTAGTAAATGGAAAACCAAGTAAACCCTGTGTGGTTTTTCTCTCAGCCGGTAATTGACTTTCTATAAAATGACTTTTGTGTAAGACTCACTGAGACAGGCTCCCTGTCCACTTCTTTCCTCTGCTGCCACCTTTAGGCCATGAATGCTGAGGAGAAATTGCAAATCAATTGGCTATAACTTTTTTTTTTTGGGGAGATTTTTTTTTTTTTTTTTGCTATAGGGCGCATGCACTTGCCAGACAGACAGAGACAGAGAAATAGAAATCGAGAAATCACCCCCCAGGGGGGATGGCCACATCGCAATCCCTTCTCCTCCATTCTCTTCTCGGGATCTTGGGCACGCACGCACATGTGCCTGGCGTGAGTTTTAAGCCACCGGGTCCGGGGCACGAACCATGGTTGACTACATGGGAGTCCAGCGACATAGCCATTTCGCTAACTGCTGCTCCCAATTGGCTATAACTTTTTAGCAAGTGTGTTTTCATTTTTTTTCTTGAATTTTTTGCACTCAGAATTAGAAGAAAGGAAAGGAAAGGAATTGACACTTGGCCACAGTGAAATTTTAAAATACTAATTTTTTTAGAATTATTTTATTTAACTTTACTTATTAATTTGACCAGAAAGGGACAGAACAAGAGTAAGAGAGAGCGAGAAAGAAAGGAAGCCACCAGGTCTGAGACTCGAACCACGGTCAGCCACATGGGAGTCCAGTGCCCTTAACCACCACACCACCTGCAAATCTCTCAAAATATTCATATTAAATGTCAATGCAATGTGTCCACATTAGTACTCTCCTTCACTACCAACCTGAAGAGTTGATTGTATCGTCTTGGTATCTCTGTGTGACACAGTGACAATAGCACCTTACATCTAGGTGGCCATTTGTATGCTGAATGCTGGGTTTTTGTTTTGTTTTTTTCATTTTTTCTTTATTTATGACAGTGTGCACACACATTTGAGAATGGGAGAAGGCACCCTCTACCGGTCACACCACAGTTCCCTCCCTCCAGTCATCCAGCCCGTCAGCTCCTGAGTCCTCACATATGCACCTCGTGTTTCAGACCAACCAGACAGGAGATCCCAACTGTGGTCACTGTATGGAATTTGGCTTCTCTCGAGCAGCATGTTACAACTACACCTCAGAGCTGGCCCTCATACCCACTTTAATGTTGGGCAAACAGGGGCTTAGGTAATAGTGACAAGACCAGGCAATTTCTAGGGGACCTTAAACCTAGATCCTGGATCTTTTGACTCATAGTCCGGAGCTCTTCGGCTTTTCCAGAACTGGCTCTCCTCCATATGTGATGTTTCTTCTAATGGAGAAAACCTGAAGCTATTTATACTGACGTGATTTTCATTGTGCCAGGAATCTCTAGGAAAGCTGACCATCAGGGATGGGCAGGTCCCTACGGAGCCAGCCAGCGCTCTGTCCCACCCGGATACCAGACACCTCACAGAGAACCTGCCCAAAGCTTCACCAGAGCAGGAGCAGCAATCCCTGTCTGGTAAGATTATTGTACTGTTAAAGGTTCAAGGACAGGCAATGAATGAATGAATGAATGAATGAAGTAGTAAATATGGATGATTTGGGTGAAGGGGGCTCTTACACAAATTAACGATATTTAAATGTTGCCTTCATTTAACAGCTTTGCTAAATCATTGTGCCTAAAGCCATGTGTTTTTTTCCCTTATTTTTTCTTTTCTTTTTAAATTTGCTATAGGGCATGTGTGCTCACCAGAGAGTGAGAGAGAGAGAGAGAGAGAGAAAGTGAGAAAGCAAGCCACCTGGTCCAGGACTCAAACAGCAGTCAGCCATGTGGGAGCCCAGCCCCTCAACCACTATACTACCCACTGGCCTCATAAAATGTTTTGTTTTGTTTTGTTTTGTTTTAAATCAAGCTGCGTTAGGTGACTTAGCTTCTTGTTAACAGAGACTTTTACTGAGCATCTATATTCTAAACATGCACATCACAGGGAGGGCACATGCTTCTCAGTGGCAGGGGGTCGGGGGAAAGCCACTTCTTGAACTTGGCTGCAGTCTTGGGGTCCCTGTGCTCCACTGGGGAAGTCAACAGGCCTTTTACCTGCTGCAGCATTGCCTGCCATTGGTTAGGAAAGGAAGGCTGGAGAGAAGTGAGACTGTCCAATACCCCAGAACTGTGTAGTCCTGGAATACTCACCCACACCTCGATGGCTTCTCGCAGAAAGACAGACAACTAATGTCTTGGTTTTGTGGTCTGAGGCTCTTTGTTCCCCAATCAATGATGAGGCTGTTATGTGGTTTCTGTTCTGTGTTTCAGGTTCCCATTCACTTACTGAGCAAACATTAGCTGGCAATTTTTGGGTAGCAATTTGACTTTATTGCAAAGCATGTTAACCTAAAGGGGGTTTATTTGATTAAGTTACATTGATGCGGTCCTCAATGTCATCTCCAAAATAATGCTTTATTTGAGGCCATCATCTTCACATATTTTACCTTTTTTTTAATGCCAGATAGTGTGCGTGCATCTACTCCCCCAAAGTTCTGGTCATATGCAATCATCCTTTTTCTTTCCATTCTCCATTATGTCAGGATCCTGGGCACTTGCACACATGCCCAAAGGGTATTTTTCAAGCTGTTGAGGCTGGGATTTGAACCCTGGTCAGCCATGTAGGATCCAGCTTCTTCTGCATAACCCTTAACTGTTGTACTACAGAGCTGGCTTTTTTACTTTTCTTTTTTTAATTTCTTCTTTTTGTTTTTAAAGTAATTTTGCTATGGAAAGAATCCATGTTTATTATAAAAACTCAAGAAATAACAGTTGAGGGGAAAATGTAAAAGAATGCATAAAAATCACCTAAGCCCCCAGAAAAAAAGCCTCTACTGATGTTTTGGTATATATCCTCTTAGTCTTGTTATGTGTGTAAAATAAACATATCAATCACCAAAAAAAAAGTTACTAATACCTAACAACCTTTCTTACCTCGTACATCCAGCCATCAGGGCTGCTTCTCAGCCTGCATCACTGTGCCAGCCCTCCCAGGCCCTCCTGTGTGCTAACGATCCAGGTGTCAGCACACCTGTCACCTGTCCTGGTTAGAAAGCTGTACTGATCTCCTCCAAGACCTTCCCCACTACTACACACCTGTCGAGGCCACTGGGCCTTCCTCTCTGTGGATATGCCACGGTTGAGTCAACAATCTTCCCATTATTGGGTATTACAGGGGTTCCAAATGAAGAATTATTTTGAAAGGTGACATCAAAAACTGACTAAAGAGAGACCAGCAGTTGGCGAAATGGCTATGCTTCTGGACTCCCATGTAGTCAACCATGATTCGAGACCCAGACCCGATGGCTTAAACTCAAAGCCGGGCACATGTGCGTGCGTGCCCCAGATCCGAAGAGGAGAATGGAGGAGAGGGATTGTGGTGTGGCCATCCCCACTCCCTCTCTCTGTCTTTCTGGCATGTGCACGCGCCCTATAGCAAAAATCTCTCAAAAAATAAATAAATAAATAAATAAATAAATAAATAAATAAGCTGCCTAAAATAATTTCATCTTCCAAAAAAAAAGAAAGAAAAACCCTTCAAATTACAAACTTTTCAATAAAGTTTAATTGCTACCAAAAATTGCCCATATGGGTTTGTTCAATAAGCAAATCTGAAACTAAAAAACAGCCTTTAAATCCCCTTCTTTTGACACATTGCTACTTTCCCCCATACTTGGTGTCAGCAAAGCATGAAAGTTACTCTTAAGGAAGTTCAAAAGAGGTCTAGCAGAGATAGGTGAGGGTACATGGATTTGAACACGGACTTGAACTCTGGCAGGCCCTTGGGCTTCCACAGCAGGCCCAGAAAAGTTACGTGTGACTCCAGGGATGTCTTGCTGATCCAGCCTTGGTATCATCAAGTGCTCTCTACAGAGGCTACATGGTTGGGGTATAGGTAGGAGTGTAGGTTATGGAACCAGTTTCCCTGGGCAGCTCCTAGCTCTATCACCTCTGAACTCTGACCTTGGATACTTTGCTTAACTTCTGCGCTTCCATTCCTTATCCTTCCAATATAGATGGTCACTAGACCTACCTTGGTGCTGGGAGGAAAATGAAATATGTGGAAAACTCTCAGCACTGTGCGAAGGCCTAATAATTAGTTGGAGTTTTTTTTTTTCTTTTTTTTTTTTGAGAGGTTTTTGCTATAGGGAGCATGTGCTCGCCAGAAAGACAGAGAGAGACAGAGAGACAGAAAGCGAGAAATCACCCCCCAAGGGGGATGGCCACGCCGCAAGCCCTTCTCCTCCATTCTCCTCTTGGGATCTTGGGCACGCACGCACATGCGCCCAGTGTGAGTTTACGCCACCAGGTCCAGTACTCAAACTGCGATCAACTGCATAGGAGTCCAGTGACATAGCCATTACACCAACTACTAGTTCCGGTTGGAGTTCTATTTAGAATTATTTAATATTATTTTTTAATTGGCTATAGGACATATGCGCTCACCAGAGAGAAAGAGAAAGTCTAAAAAAACAAGCCACCATAGTCTGGGACTCAAACCATAGTCAGCCCATGGGAGTCCAGCACCTTACCCATCACACCACCTGCTGGCTCCCTAATAATTCTTAATTATTCACAGAAGGACTTTGGAAGGAGTAGATATGCAATAAAGATGACTGTGTGAGGGACGTGGGTTGCATTATTACATTTGAGTAGGCACACTTCTCAAACCAGGAGCTTTCAAGTGGCCAAGTGTTCACTCCAATCTCAGACACACAGTTCTTAAGAAAATAGCTCCTCTTGTGTTCCTTTCTGTGCCAGCTTTTTCCTGGCACGATGATCTATGCCAGAGGTGGACAGATAAGCCCAAGCATACCTGGTGCCATATGAGGAGGCACCTTCAGCACAGATGGCTCTCAGAACCTGTCTCCTACACGATGGAACTCCTGGCTGTGCACCGTCATGCTCACCTCCCTGCCTCCCCTGGGATGTGTGCATCTCTGCTTCCAGTCCACTGTCTTCATCTTCCTCATCTCTCTCTGGCCCTAGTGGACGTCACTCAAGTCCCCACATCCTCTGTCAAGGCCTTCAGGAATAATCAGGCCTTCTTCCTCTCCCAGCCCATGCAGACAGGGCTCCAGATCCATGGAGACCTATGTCCCACCTGGAGCATTCTCTGCATTCCCCCGCCATGGGCCTCACTTCCTACACTTTCAGGAAGCCTCTTACATTCAAGCTTGGGCCGTTTTACGTAGTATGATATTGACACCTCAGAGGGTAAGGCCAAACTCATATGTGATTGGCTGAATGAATGTTGGGGCCAAGAGAGGCGCGAGACTGGCCATGATAAAGTCAAGGAGTCAGAGCAGCAGCCTGGCTCCTATGGCATTTGCCATCACACCCTGGATCATGTAAAGAAACCCAAGTGAAGGATTTCTGGTGTCCCAGTCCTGAAGCACAACCAAAAGAGAGAAAGGCAGGCAGGTGCGAGCGTTCATTCTGCCAGCTAGCGTGAGTAATTTTAGAGCATCTAAAGCAGGGTGGTGGTGTTGGTTGTCGGTGCTCTGCAATTTTAGAGACCAAAATAGAAGACAAAAAGTCCCTCATTCAGGCCGTGGAATGCCTTCCTGAAAAGGCAAAAAATACTAAGGTGATTTGCAATTGGTTTTAAATGGAGGGGTTTTCCATTGTCTCACATTTCCCCCTTTATCTCCCCTACACCCGCCTTGTGTTTACATTGTTCACCCAGGACCAGATGGCTCTGCAGACCTCACCCCTTCCTTTGGAAAGAAGAGGGCCCCTCGCCCTGGCCCCAGTGGGACCCCAGTGGACACGAGGCGAGTCAGTTGGTCTGAGGACCCCAAGTCTGAGTGCAAAGGCAGATCTGCCATCAGCCTGGCCTGCAAGTGCAGCACGTCCCCAGGGGAGAAGGTGGCGGCTCCTCCTGACCCCAGCAAGATGCCAGGGGCAGCTGCCCAAGCCAGCTCATCCCACAACCCTAGGGGAGTAGGGTCTGGGACAGAAGGGGCACCTCCAGCCAGTGCCATCCTGTCCCAAGACCCACTCATACCTGAGGAGAAGAAACAAGGGGCTCCAGGTCACCACAGCAAGGCATGGGACCCGGCAGGCCTCTGCACCCCTGAGAGCTCCCTGCAGTCAGCTCTGCTCCAGGGTACAGATTCCATGTCTATAAGGCCATCACAGACCAGCCCCTCCCTGCCATCGTCCACTGGCAAGATCAAAGAAGCATGTGTCAGTGGCTCTGGGCACTGCTGCCCAGCAGGGAGGACAGACAGCCCCATCACAGACATCGACACAGTGATCCAGGAGTTGGATGCTTCCAAAGCCAGGCTTCAGTTTTCTAAGAAAGGGGACCCTGGGCATCCCGAGGGCAGTGCTCAGGGCCGAACACCAGCAGGAGCTGGGGGCAGGAGTCCCCACCTTGGCCAGCCAGTTCCAGGGGATCAGACCCCTACCTCAAGGCGGGCTTGGACCACTGGCTCACCCCCTCCCACACAGTGGGCCTCCCAGCCTTCGGTTTTGGATTCAGTTAATCCTGACAAACATTTTACTGTGAACAAAAACTTTCTGAACAACTACTCTAGAAATTTTAGCAATTTTCATGAAGACAGCATCTCCCTGTCAGGCCTGGGCGACAGCACGGAGCCCTCTCTCTCATCCATGTACGGAGATGCCGAGGACTCATCCTCTGACCCCGAGTCACTCACTGAGGCCCCACGAGCCCCTGCCAGGAATCGCTGGTCACCTCCTCGTTCTCATGGGTCTTCTCACAAGGAAGAGGCAATGGAGTCTGAGGAGGAACAGATTGAAATTTGCTCCACAAATGGTTACCCAAACCTGCCCTCCACCCCATCTCATCCTCCAGCCCAGGCTGCACCCTGCCCCGCTTTAGCCAAAGTTCTGCCATTGAAACACAGTGCTCTGAGTGAGTCTGTGGGAAAGCCATGTGGGAGAGCCTCCTTCTTGCCCCGGGCATCATGCACTTCAATCCCAAAATCCTCTTCCCAGCCCATTTCAGTCTTGAGGATGGGGTCTCAGGAGCACGAAACTCACGCAGACCTAAGCGTTTCCCAGAACCATAGGCTCTCGTGTGCAGAAGAGACCTCAGGAGTCACCAGCGGTAGCTCAGCCGTGAAAAGCAATCAGCCTTCTGAGGTCACTGGGGACTCTCCCAACCCCCCTGCCACTCTCAGTTCCCTTAGCATGGTAAACGGCTTGGAACATGACTTGCTCGATGACGAAACCCCGAACGAGTGTGCAGCACGTGTCAGCACAACTGAAAACGGGTCATCCTTGAGTGTGGATGTTCCTGAGGATAGAGACTCTATTTTGGCCAACCTGCACATCTCTGAAAGTCAAGACCTGGATGACTTGCTGCAGAAACCAAAAACGAACTCCAGGAGGCCCATCATGGCCTGGTTTAAAGAAATCAATAAAAGCAGCCAAGGTACGCACTCACAGAGCAAAGCCGAGAGGGAGCAGCCTGCGATGCCCGCCAGAAGTCCTGACTCCAAAATTCAGATGTTGAGCTCAAGCCACAAAAAGGGGGTTGCTATACCTAACAGCCCTCCTCAGTCTAAAATGAATCTTGACAATAAAGACCCATCTAAAAAAAGTTCAGTGGAAACGCTTTTAAATAACTGTCAGAAACCCAAGTGCGGTCCCAAGCTAAAGAGACTCAGCATCAAAGGCAAAAACAAAGTCAGCTCTGAGGCCCCTGCTGTAAGTCTGGCCAAGGCTGGAGGGGCCGACCCCAGGAAGTCCCTAATTTCACCACAGACCTCCCACAAAATGCTTTCCAAGGGAGCATCACCCCGAGGCCTTGGAGCTGATCCTGAGGACCCTGACAGAAATGCCACAGCCACCCCCAGGCCTCCCCAGTGTGCGCTGGACAGCAGGCTGCCCCTCGCTGCCTCCGGGTCACTGAAGTCCTCGGCATCAGACACAAGCATCGGAACCTTCACCTCGCCCCTGACCTCCCCCAAGACTCTTGCTGAGCAAGTTGCGTGTAATAGGTTCCACACGGCTGTCCATGCAGAACTCAACAGAGGTGGCCCAATCGCCCCTAAATCTCCCAAGTGTGGACCAGATGCCAAGGTGCCCCAGGTGGACCCTGGGCCAATGAGTCACACAGTGTCAAGGAACAGCATGTCCACAGCAGGGAACCGATGCTCTGAGCAGCGCATATCCAGCCAATCGGACTCTGCTGCAGAAGCAGCCCAACCCAGAGCGACTGGCGAGAAAGGAGGCAAGATAATTGCCAATGAGCCCCTCGAAATAAGGAGCCAGCTGAAAATAGTTGAGATTTCTTCTGAGAGAATGCCAAAGACTGCATGTGGTGACAAGCCAGCTGAAAGTGACAGACGGGAAGAGTTCTCAGCCCAGAGCAACTGTCAGGAGAAGAGTGAAATCAGACTCTGTCACCAGGCAGCAGAATCGTCCCCAAATTACCCGTCCTCACTCCCATCTCGTGCCTCCCAGGTGGAGCAAGAAATGCAACGCTCACTCAACCTGGCCAAGCTGGCTTCCTCCTCCTCCCCACAGCTGCCTGCTAAAAAGGCATATTCCCCCCAAGGAAAATCAAGCCAGATGTCAGACTCCCCAGGGATGCCCAAGAATGGCACACCAATATGCCCTGTGGGAGAGGACCATCCTTACTTCATACCAAGGCCAGCAACCAGGACCTACTCCATGCCAGCCCAGTTCTCCAGCCACTTTGGACGGGAGGATCATTCTCCGCACAGCCCAGGCCGCTCTCCTCGGCACAGCCAGAGCCCTGTGACAAGCAATGGTTTCCTTGAAGCAAAGGCGTCCAAAGGCAGTATTCTTGGCCTGGTTAATGGACAGGGTATATATAGCATAAAGCCTCTGCTAGAAACCTCAAGGAACCTTCCGACAGACGAAGGGGCTGTCATTTCTGTCCAGGAGACGAGCTGCCTGGTTACAGACAAGATCAAAGTCACCAGGAGACATTACTACTATGAGCAGAGCTGGCCCCATGAATCTACCTCATTTTTCTCTGTGAAGCAGAGGATCAAGTCTTTCGAGAACCTGGCCAATTCTGACCGGCCTGCGGCCAAGTCTGGGGCTTCGCCGTTTCTGTCAGTGAACTCTAAGCCCCCCATCGGGAGACGGTCTTCTGGCAGCATTGTTTCGGGGAGCCTCAGCCACCCCAGCGACGCAGCCGCAAGGTCACTGAGACGCAGCTTGAGTTCCTGCAGTGAAAGCCAAAGTGAAGCTGGCGCCCTTCTCCCCCACATGACCAAGTCACCATCCAGCATGACACTGAGCATCTCCAGGCAGAACCTGCCAGAGACCACTAACAAGGGCCCTGTTTCAGACCAAAAGAAATCACTTGGTCCTTCGGGAATTCCCATTGCGACAGTGACCCCCTCCTCTCCCATCAAGAGGAACAAGTCCTCCGTACGGCACACCCAGCCCTCGCCTTTGTCCCGCTCTAAGCTCCAGGAGCTGAGGGCCTTGAGCATGCCTGACCTTGACAAGCTCTGCACTGAGGACTACTCGGCAGGGCCAACCGCGGTGCTCTTCAAAACGGAGCTGGAGATCGTGCCCAGGAGGTCGCTTGGCTCCCCTTCTGGAGGCCATTCGGTCCTCAGTGGATCAGTTGCCCCTTCCTGTCCTGAGAAGGGAGGGAACAGGGCCTGTCCAGGAGGAAGCAGCCCTGAAGCCAGTGAGTCTGGACCACTCAGTTCAGCCAGTGAAACCTCCCAGGATTTGCCTTCAGGAAAAAGCTGGTCAATTAAGTAAGTATTTGCACACGTGTGCACGCGCACACACGTGAACTCTCTATTTAAATAAACTTGTTTCATTTTAAAATAGTTTTAAGTTTGTAGAAAAATTGCAAAGATAGCACAGACCTCTCACTCTGCTCTTTTTTTTTTCTTTTTCTTTTTTTTTTGGAGAGGTTTTTGCTATAGAGTGCGTGCGTGCACAAGAAAGACAGAGAGAGACAGAGATACAGAAAGCGAGAAATCACCCCCTGGGGGGTTGGCCACACCGCAATCCCTTCTCCTCCATTCTCCTCTCAGGATCTTGGGCATGCACGCACACGCACCCAGCGTGAGTTTAAGCCACCGGGTCCGGGACTCGAACTGTGGTCGACTACATAGGAGTCCAGCGACATAACCGTTACACTAACTGCTGGTCCCTCACTCTGCTCTTTCTAATGTTATCTTACATAACCATGATCCATCTGACGAAAATCAGATAAATTAACATGAGAGCACTACTTCAGGTTGAGTGTCTAATCTTATCCAAAATACTTGGGACCCAGGAGTGTTTGGGGTTTTAAAATATTTGCATAAGCAACATGATGTTGGGATTGGAACCTATGTTCAAACACAAAATTACTTTGTTTCATATATGCTTTACACACATAGCCTGAAGGTAATTTTCCACATTATTTTTGTATTGCAGTGTTTCAGCTGCAGCCCATCACAACAGATCAAATGTGGAATTTTCTATTTGTAGCAGCAAGTTGGCATGCAAAAAATTTTGGATATTGGAGTGTTTTGAATTTTGGAGATTTTAGATTAGGGATGCTCAACCTATATTAGCTATACTGTAGCTTTTGGTTTTGTTTTTGTTTTCAAATTTTGCTGAATAAATTCAATTAATAGCATTTTTCTATTCCAGGATCCAATCTAGAATCCCACTGTGCATTTAACACCGTTGTTTTTCATATTATTGCTAGAGAGATGAGAGTCCCTGCAGGGAATGACTTTTACTGAAATGTTGCTCTGTGGAGAGGACCCTAGGATGAAAAGAGAAGGGTGTGCCTCAGGGTAGAATTTGAGCTTTTGAAAGGAACTGGAGTTAAAACAGAGATTGCAAATGTATTTTTAAATATTCTCTCTAGGAGCCAGTAGGTGGTGTAGTGGTTAAAGCCTTTGACTCCCACATGACTGACCACAATTTGAGTCCCAGACACAGGGACTTGAAAATCACACTAGGTACATATGCGTGCGTGCCCAAAATCCTGAGAGGAGAATGGAGGAGAAGGGATTGCAGCATGGCCATCACCCTGCAGGGTGATTTCTCACTTTCCCTCTCTGTCTCTGTCTCTCTCCAGTGAGTGAATGAGCCCTAACAAAAAATAAAATTTCATCCCAGTTTATCTATCAAATATTTTTTAAGAATTATTTTATCCATTCATTTATTTTCATTTGACCAGACACACACACATGTACACATACACACACACACACAGACACACACAGAAAGTGAGAAAGCAAGCTACCAGGTCCAGGACTCGAACCATGGTCAGCTATGTGCAATTGTCCAGCGCCTTCACCACCATGCTACCTGCTGGTCCTCTCTATTGAATATGTTTAAATATGTCACAAATGTTCTGTTAAACTCCTACACTGTCCCCGTACATGTTGGAGGGATCCCTGAATCCATGACACTTCCAGCCACTGTCGACAGGGGATGATATTCCTACCCAACATTCAGGATTCTTCAGTTAGTCTGGAGTTAGAGCTAGGACAGAGAAAGAGCAGGGAGACCAGAAAACACATGTAATACAGTAGAAGGAGATTAATTGCATCTTATAAAATGGAGACATTTCTTTTTTTCCTTAATGTCTGAAAATATGTTTCTGTTGTTTAGTTTGGATCAACTTCTAGTCTCGGTGGGAGACCAGCAAAGACTACAGTCTGTCTTATCATCGGTGGGGTCAAAATCTACTGTCCTTACTCTCATTCAGGAAGCGAAAGCACAATCAGAGGTGAGTGGAATGCAGAAAACTGAGTCGACGTTAGTGCCCAGCTCTGGGTCACCAGCTCAGACAGCCAAGGCGAGCCCTGCCTCAGTCCTAGAAAGGACCACACTTGGTTATAGCTTTTACAGCCTGCACTGACTTTGGCCTCACTGACAGCCAGCTGACTTCAGAAGCTAGACCTCCTCCTGATGCAGGTGCCAGATGTGTGTCCCTGCCATTTTAATCTCCCAACAGCAGCTAGTTGCCATCTTCCCCCTCCCCCTATTCAGAGCTTGTCAGCAGAGCGTCCTCACAGCAGAGCTAGGCATCTTGGAAATCTTGGAGAATGAACACAGCACCTTGTCTGCCCAAGTGTGGACAGAAACTAGTCCAGGAAGCCACCTGCTGGTGAAAGCGGAGTTACACCGATGCAGCCTTACCCTGAAATATAGAAGCATCTCGAGTCCGAGTTCATGACAGAAGCTAATTAGTAATTACAAATGAACCCTTTAAATAAATCAGATGTGGCAGTGGAGAACAGAAGAAACCATGGGGTTCCCCTCTAGAATACTCCTCTGGAAAACATTAATTTCGCAGGACAGCCCAGAGAGCTGAACTCTAACTCATGAAAATTTAGAGATAAAAAGTTTTGAGGGGAAGAAAAGCTAATGTAAACTATTTTTTTTTTCATAGTGGTCATGTACCTGGGTCATTAATGCTATCCGAGAACGCAGTTCCATAAATTCAAATATTATCCAGAAGGCTGAGCGGCTCCTCGGCCAAAGAGCAGCCAGCCATGACATCTAATAAGGAGTCAAGCAGGATGGACAGGGCGGAGAGGAGACCAGTGCCCTGAGCTTCCTTCCATGCCCTCCTGACTCTCAGGGTGGGATCTGTGCAGTTAAACACCTGCAGAGGAGACACCAAGCACTTTTTACTTGCAGTAAAAGAGAATAATCCACCTTTACTACTTTGACTTGTTGCATACATGAGCATTTTACATGTGGAAGCCTCATACTGGGATTGACATGGTGGGGTCATGCTTAGCCAGGCCCCCTTTGCAACGTTGAACACTGGATTGTGCCAGAAAACGTGTAAAAGGAGCAAACCAGAAAGTCTCAACTAGTGGGGACTTTGTGTGGTCAGGGTGCTGAGTACTCCCATGGGAGCCACCCTCTGGGCCTCCCTCACCCTCTCTCACACTCGACACTTACTGCCGGTCAAGGGTCATGGTTTCATGTTGGAGATTATTCCTACTTTCATTAGAATGCAGCTTTCTTTTCTCCTCACTTTGCTGCTGTCTTGAGTTGATCTTATAGAGGAACAGTGAGCAGAGATGTCCTTGCTCTGCCATCTTTAGAAAAGAAGCTTCCTACCGTGCTTTTTTCTTTTTTTTTTCTTTTGAGAGTTTTTTTGCGATAGGGCGCATGTGCTCGTCAGACAGATAGAGAGAGACAGGGAGACAGAAAGCAAGAAATCACCCCCCAGGGGGATGGCCACGCCACAATCCCTTCTCCTCTGTTCTCCTCTCTGGATCTTGGGCACGCACACGCGCCTGGCGTGAGTTTAAGCCACCAGGTCCGAGACGCAAACCGCAGTCAACTACGTGGGAGTCCAGCGACATAGCCATTATTCTAACTGCTGGTCCCGCCTACCATGCTTTTTCTTGACGCGTATTAGCAGGTGCTCAACAAAGACCCATACAAGGTTACTTCCTGCAGCCTTCTGGTGGCCCTGTGCGAGAGAGAGAGAGGCCAGAATCAAACCCTGGTCTTCTGGCTTTAGCATGTCTAAACCTCAGAGCACTAGTGATGGTCAATCTGCTGTGTGAAACTTTTCAAGGCAAAATGGGGCCCGTTAGCTTCTAGCACACTGTATCTTCAAATACAACTGGAATAAAAACTAACTCAAATAAGTTCACATGTTAGTGAGGCCATGTCCTAGAATGCAAGAGTCTCATTTCAAATACTCTGTTCCTCTGTTCCCATAAAGCATTTCAGTATCTGAGAAATGCTCATATTTCAGCATCTACGTTACCTCCCAGAGGCTGCATGACGATCATTTCCTGGCCACCTGGTCCTGTCTTTGTTTAGGATGAAAGGCCTAGTCATCCTTCTCTCCATGGCTCAGTGCCTGTGCACATATATAGTTGAAGGGGCCTAAGAAGTTAACATCCCCAAACCCCATAAGTTCTGCAAGACATCCTAGTGTCAGCATATCGGTGTGACTGATCTTTAAAGAAGTATGAAACAGTTGGGATTAGTTCACGTGATGTACTCAGGGAACGAAAGGATGTTTCTTTGAAATACTGAGCTCCCTCCTAGCACATCACAGAGGTGATTTTCTCTGTCAGCATTTTCACTTTCTCTCATCAAATCCTTTAGAGTTATTGTTAGTTTTTGTTTTGTTTTGTTTTGTTTTACTCCTGCTATGTGTGAAGTGTGATGGATTTTAAATGACTTCATGTGAAACTAAGCAATGCGGCCTTTAGAACATTGCTGAATCGTATCAAGTGTGTGAGTGAAGAAAGTCAAGATTCAGAATTATAAGCCTAGCTAATCTTTTAGTTTAAACTATTTTCTTTCCATCTAAACTTTTGACTAATGCTTGAAACATAGAAAAGACATCTTTATTACTTAACCCTATGACGCTACTAAGAATGTTCTCATCCTAAGATGGGTTGACATTTTAACATACTTAATATGGGTTGACATTTTAATATACTTTATATTTCTTGATGCCAGTTCATTCATTGCACCTGAAATCCACTGAGCCAAACAGAGGGAGGGACGTAAAGAACAGGGCCTCCATGTACTCTTACCCTGCCTGGTGGCACCTGCACTTTACTATCTTGCTCTTGCTGGAACTGGCTTTGCTCAATTGTGAACATGAAGAATTGGAGGCCCAGCCACAGGGGCCTGGCTGGTAGAGCACCAACATAATGATGGAGCCCTGTGAGAAGGCCCAAGTTTTGGATCCTGGGTTGACCGGAGCATTCTGGGTGTACCTGTGATCTGGGCTGGCTGGTAAACTGGTGATGGGGGTTGTGACGCGGTGAGACCCTGTCGTAGGTCCATCTGTCTGTTGTTCCCTCTCCCTACTCCCATTCTCTGTGTCCATCCTCCTTGTCCTTCTCATGAAGGACATACATAAACTTAAGAATTGTAGAATAAAGGATTCCATTTATGCTCCACTATGCTCCTTGATCAGATTGAGGAAGACACGATCTGGTGTCTCCAATGGCTTGCAGACTTAGGAATTCGAACTTGTCCCCCACCCCATGTGGTTCATGTCCACCTTCCCTGTGGTTGTATGATTCAGGATGGACCTTTGAGTCTTGCCCAGAAGGGACACAGGTTGAGACAGGTCTGTGAGAGCTGGAAAATCACTGGGCCATTGTGACAAAAGACTGCAGAATTTACACCAGAGCTCCTTACTCATGGCACAAGGACTGTAACTTCTTTTCCATTTCTTTTCACTAGAATAAAGAAGATATTTGCTTTATAGTCTTGAATAAAAAAGGAGGCTCGGGTCTTGGATTCAGTGTGGCAGGAGGGACAGACATGGAGCCAAAACCAGTCCTGGTAAGTGGTAATGTTGTTAGGCTTCTGGAAAATCATTTCCTAAGCAGCCTCAAAATTTGATCAGGACACAAAGTCCACAGCTAAGATTTGTCTGCTGCTCCCAACATAAAAATGGAAAAGTAGGG